AAGTATTTCCAGGATGTGCAGGTGAAAACAAAAAAAGCTTTTGAAGGTTAGGAACCAAAAGCCCAGTGAGGACATCACAATGTCACCAGGCCCATGTTGCTAGTGCTTCATAATAATAATAGTTCATATTAATAATGTAATAGTGGTGAAATCAATCAGAAGTCTTTTCTGCAGACAGTTTGGCTTTCTTTGGCTTTAAGTGGAAGCACAATTACACTTAATTATTCTATACCAATACTGTACTTATATACTTTTTATACTATTCTAATTATACAATTAAAATTATACTATACTTTCAGTACTTCCCTGTGTAATTTAATGTATCCTTTTTTGAGGATATCAATTGCAGAAAAGCAACAACTTATTATCTTTGGTATATTCCAGCATGTTTGGTCTAGAGTTACTGTTCCCACGGAGGTATGTTCTCACACTCTACACAGGTTTGGTTTGTGTGGGCATGAACTTATTCGAATATTTTTGCTGTGGATATCTATCTATCTATCTATCTATCTATCTATCTATCTATCTATCTATCATGATCATTAACAAAAAAATGTTGAAAGGTTTAACTTGCAACATTTAGTAATGAACTATAAATACTGGATGTGCCACAAAATGTTCATGCAAATATGAATAGGAGCTGCCTGTCTGGTATAACATGTGTTAATGCTGTGCAATTAACACTGACCAATGACGCCAAAAAAAGCAACCCACAACCTACAGAAAATCACGTTACAGGTAGATTAATAGAAACAAACTGTCAAATCAAGTCAGTCTGTAACACAGTTACAAAGATGATTTACACTGTTGTTTGTCAACCGAGTTCCACAGCTGGGTTTCCAGTCACTGTGACACTGTTTCCCTTGTTCTTCTTCTGTTTTCTTCTTCTAACACAGATTGTTTACACATGTTTTAAGAGTCAAGTTTCAAAGAGTTGGTTACTTGTGTTACCTAAAATAAGTGTAGTAGTGGTAGTTTGCCTTTTGTAGTTAAATAGTTTTGTATTGATATTAATGTTTGGTAAAGTGAATTTGACAGAGTGTGACTGTAATGCTGACATCGGCTTGTCCAAGTATCCTAAAATGTTTTTCCGTCTTTTTTCATGCTTCCTAAGATCCAACTCCATAGGGTAAGGAGCCACACAGTAGATTTTATCAAAGTAAGGAGTCTGTTGCAGTGAGTAGATCTCAGTCAGATCAGCTGATAGCACTAACTGGACAGCACAGTATGGACTCAGTCAGGTTCTGGTCTGAGCCCAGAATCACATCAGTTTTGTTTTCGGGGAGAGAAACTGTCTTCCTGACTGAGTCACATGAGTGGCTGCACTTCCCTGCGCAGAGAGTGCTAAAGCTAAGCTAATAAAAAACAAATTTAGGACCACATTGGATTTTTCAGTTTTAAATTAATAGCTTTATTTAATAAATCTATTGAAGAGAGATTAATGAAAATACACGAGAAACTCTGGAGTGGCTGCTGCTAATTCCTTGCTTGCATATCTTTTGACATGTAACTGCTTTCCTGTACGTAATCCTCTGTCACACTCTGCACATGCACAGCATCAGGACAGAACAGCTAAGCACTGCTCTGACTCTTGGCTTTGTTTCTGGTTTGGTGAGTGCGTGTAACCTGTGTTAATCATTAACTCTTCTCTCACCACGCTCTCCGGGGACAGTTACTCTATCAAACACTCTATGAGCATGCCTGCTATGAGGTAACCACTCTGTGCTTTTGTGCGTGTCTTTGTGTGTGTGTGAGTGAGAGAGAGATGTTTATATGTGAGATGATCATTTAAAATTTGAAGTTTTTGTGTATTAACACAAAAAAATCCTGTGCAGTCTTTAGGAGTTAATGCAACGCTTGCACTGCTTTGTATTTAGTTAAAGGCACTCTGACCCTGACACACCTGGAAAAATACCTGGTGTGTTTTTTTCCACATGCTCACTTCTTCAGGTCATTTTGACTTTTTTGTGTTGCAGTACCAAAAAACCCCCATTGTGTTATTTCAGAATATTTTACAAATCAAACATGACCCCTTTTTGAATAAGGGCGCTGCCAAAAGTAGCTTCTTCTATTTCAGAAGAGGATTTCACAAATAATTGTGTGCTCATGTGATAAGACAGCAAAATGTGGTTTATTTTTTAATAATCTTTCCCTCCCTTTTTCACAGAAACTCTCCCAGCTTCAGGTCTTTTGAAGAGAAAGTTGAGAACACAGTTTCCACTATCAAGGTAACCATGTGTGTGTGTGAGAGAGAGATTTAGCATTATAAAGTGATAACATGTGAAAAGCCTCAAACAGAGTGTGTTTGCCATAAAAGTAGTCTCACTTAATCCGAGGCATTTAGGGGCACTTTTGAATGTTTTTCAAGATAAACTAAAAACTATTTCATGTGAACGCTGCACATAAAGAAGCTGGTCAGGTTGCAGCTTCTAAGTACTGACGCATAAAACAAAGTACTATAATTAGTGTGTAATTATGAGCCTACACTCTGACAGGGAACCCACTGATTACTGACATTTATAGTGATACCAAAACAAGTCCTAAGAGTCCAGAGGAGTGTACTAGGAAGCAACATTCATGGGTTAGTAAGCTGTGAAACTGACCCTGTTTTTACCCAACTAGATCACCAGAGAGGTTTACATTAAGAGTTTTGGTTTTCAAATTGACTGAAAGCACATTTTCACTCATTCATGTATGGATGCTTTAAATGTGATGTAAATGATCAGTTTGGTACATGATTTCTTGGCCTAAGACACAATTTTTGTATTTTTTCCGCTGTACACCATCACAGAGGATTTTAAATCAAACAATAAAGCTGTGATTGAAGTGCAGACTTTCAGCTTTAATTCAAGAGGCTTTACAAAACAGCTGCATTAACGGTTCATGAATTACAAACAGTGGCTGAAAAGTAACTGGAAAATTCACTGACAAGCGGTTCTGTAATCAGGTGACTCGTGTTCCCTTATTTAATGACAAACAAAGCAGACACAATAGCTGAAGTTTCAAAGTGTAAAGGCCCACCAGAGCATCTCAAAGTTATCCAGGATGTGGTGATGTTCACGGGTTATACAAATTTGTTAGTTTGTCCAGTTACTTTATGAGCCTCTGAAAATGTAAATTCTTAAACAGTTAATGGCATTTTGAATCAAAGTTGAATATCTGTACTTTAATCACATGTTGATTATTTGATTTGAAATCTGCTGTGGTGGTCGGCAAAGTTGGAACAAAAGCTGGTGAAATGACTCCTGTTTCCATGTACACGCCCTGCAAATGCCCGACAGCTTCAGTCTTTGTAAAAGTCTGCCACCTTGAGTCGACTCTGTAGCACCACAGAACAAGAACGACAGCTTCAGTGACACTTTTGTGCCTTTGTTTCTTGTCCCAGACAAAGGTTGGCGGCACCGGGAGTGGGGGCAGCTTTGAGGACGTCCTGTCATCCGCAGCGCACGCCAGCTCACAGGACACGCCCACCAACAACTTGATGGACAGCTCTGAGAGGCAGTGTTAAGGCTCCACCCGGACCACGAGCCAGGGCTTAAACGGGAACTCCGCTGCCGATGTGTCGCAGCACTTTAACTCAAAGCTCTGACTGAAACAGTGCACAACACCTTTTGATCCTTAGTGTCAAGGCGCTTTTGCAGAATACAGATTGTCTTAAAACCTAAATAATTACATTTACCCAAAATGACCCCTAAGGCTGCAGTCGTCTTCTTTTATTTTAAAAGATCAACTCTAAACCTCATATGATACGGGGACTAATGAGAGCAAGGAGCCTATAATGTTTTCCTTCTATTTATAGTGTTGAAGGGTTTTTAGTGGATTTGATGAATGCCATCTGTCCTCCAGAGGTTTCCTAACCACGTTACACCACAGATGTTGATGAGATGGGGTTGGGGAGGAGCAGCTAGCAGATAGGCCTTAAATGACCTGAAACACGACATGAAACGAGTCTGAGCTGATTACACATCAACTTCAGGAGACAGACTGAACCTAAACCCCGCATATCGAGCTGGTACTTTCTTCTTCTTCTATTTGGCACATTTGTGCTCATGTAGTTCACTCGGCTGTCAGATCACAGCTGGGTTTCCCCAGACACAAAACAAAAGGCCGATTCCTCCGTGAGATGTGTAAATTTAAGACAAGTGGAAAAAGTGACAGTAGATGTTCAACACCGCATCAGTATGAGAGTTTTAAAACAGCTACCTTTCTTTATTAGGACAGCAGAAAACTGCTGTTTCACATCTTTACTAGAAATATGTTTGTGATTTAAAAAATTAAGTAATTTTATTACTTAATGCTGTAAAAATGTGACCGATCAACCTGAACATCCTGGGTGACATTTGTATAAAGGATTTTACACTACTACAGAAGATCTAGCTCCTCGGGTTTCACTGTGGCATCTAAAAACATTTTGTCGTCGGCATTTCACGATATATACTCAGTGTACTGATATACACATGGGGTTGGGGAGGCGCAGCCAGCAGTCAGCTGGGAGTTGCAGCTGGGGTCTGTTTGAATATCTAAATGCAAACTGTGAGAGCAACTACAGGAAGCAGTGGTGTATATGTGAAAAAGCATCAGTGCGACATGATGTATCATCGGGAGCACAATTCTTGGCTGTAAATGTGACGCATTAATCCAGCGAATGCTGTTACGCATGTAGTGAAACTACATGAGCTCAGATTTTAACGAACATTTTAACGCTGAAAAATTGAATTCAGTGTCACTATAACTAAAATGTTGGTGCCGTAAACGATGAGAATGATCTTTGCAACTATTCAAATCTGCTCTGTGTGGCAAACTCATTACTTTGTCTTTGTATTATTTGCAGTAAATAATCGTTTGTGTTTTGTAGTTTTTACTTTCTCTTCCATGTGTTAAACTTTTGTTTTTGGTCCTCTCCCATGAGAAGATGCTTGGCCCTTGAAATACATTCAATAAAATCCATAAACAGAAACAGACTCACTAAAAATAACTCGTTCTGTTCTGTCTTTGGAAAATTGATTTCAATAAACCTTTTATGTAATAAATGTCTTTACAGCATAAACACAAAAAGACATAACTGTGACCATCATGTACAATAACACTGTATGTGAATGATCAATAACTGTTTTTATGACTTTAGTATGTATAATAAAGATTGTTTGAACCAAACCTGATGTCACTCTACAGTTTCAACAGCACTCTGGAAAAGCATGAGGAAAACAGAACAAACATTAATACCTGCAGAATACTAAAATAATCGTTTATCTGCAGCATTGTTTCTAAAACACACCTATCATTTATGGACTACAATGTAATGGTGCAGCGACACTGTTGCATTAAAGTATCTGAATTTCAGAACCAGGACCACGTCTCTAAACACGCCACTTCCTGTTCTTATCTATATATGATCACCCAGTTCTGCAAGCTGTTTTCATGCCCCATCCTACCTGCCATTTTTCAATTCTTTCACTTCTGCCAGGATCTGCCAGGCCCGGGAGCCGCCGCCAGTCCCCTTCAAGGCCTTACCCAAACCACAGCTCAATTCATGTGTTGTTGTGCACAATCGTAACGAGACAACGTTTGGTGAGCAAACTGATATTAAATCAGCTCAAAAGAAAATCACTGGACACACTTAGCTCGACAAAGCTACCTTCTAATTCAGAGCAAGCCAAGAGCTCAGTCATGAATAAAAATAAGACCACAACCTCCTTCCATCTATAAAGAAATCAGTGTCTGGTATTGATTTTTTCATTTTCTTAAACCAGCTGCAGCTTGAGGTGATTAAATGCTTGCTCAAAGCTTGAAGGTGTTGCATACACGCAACTGCTTGATTGCACGATGATTGCAAACGTCAGCTTTTAGGAGGCAAGCTGTCTGCAAACAGTCGCATCCGCCAGTCAGTCTCAGAGACTGTGGAAGGTTTGCAGATAATTTCTGTCTAATTTAAAAATGCAGAACGACTGAGATCAGTCTGAAGGAATCTTTGACAATAACTGATATCAGACCTACTCCACCACCTTATTTGTTCAGCCAATCACAGATCTAATCACACCAGCACAGGTGAAAAGTTTAAAGCACCAAATTAGTTAAGATGAGAGCCCTCGCCACAGTTATAAATGTGATGCCAAACTTGGGTTTTGAAGCCTCTAAGTTTACTTTCAGGAGCCAAGTGTGAGCGCATCTTTTTTAGATTCATACCTGATTCACATTCAAGTATCAAACACTAAAGATGTACATGTATATCAAATAACTGAAAAACACAAGCTGTCACAAATACAAGATCAAGAAATGGCGTTACTAGAGAATATGTAAACGTAGCGGTTCCTTAAAAGTCATTTGCTACTTCAAATCTTCAGTCTTTGCTTTAACTTTGTCTTGGTTTAAAATACGCAATAATGTGTGTAAACTGAAAACATATAAAACAATGACTAAAACAATGAACTGGTGTGATTTAGACAAAAAAAACAAAAACAATATTACAGCTTGTGCGTCCCTGTACAGACTGTTTGTCTGAATCCAGCATCTCTGTCTACCTGAGAAGTCCTGTTCACTGTGTGCGTGTTACAGTCAGGAAGCGTGTGACGTTGTGTGGTCTTTTTCAGGCACCGAATCAGCAGCCTGCGATGGCTCAGACGTCTTTGTGCCATCTGTGTTGGTCATGTGACTTTCTCGCTCTTTGTTCATAGAGCTGACCAGCTGGAGAACGTCCGGGTGGTGGAAACGACCTAAAGACAGCCCAGCAAGATCAGAGCGAGTAGAAAAATGGGTAAATGCTACGATAGACGTGCTGGAGACGTACCGGCTGTGGAGTCAAAGAACTCCTGCAGTCTTCCTGGTGTTCCCTCCAGCTCCTCATACTCGTGCGCCTGCAGGATCATCTCCAGCTGGTCAAACTGTTTCACCAGCCGGGCCTCTGCGCTGCTCTGAGTTTCATATTCCTGCACAAGGACAAAGCATCCCGATTATAAAGCACATGGCCAGGAAGCAACAAATGCCATGTTTGCAGAGACGTACTTCCCACAGTGTGTAGATTTCCTGTCTGAGAGCCTCCGGAAGAAGACTCGTTAGTTGCTTCATCGCTTCCTGAAAGGCAAGGAGAAGTTACAACTACAGCCAAGTTTAGTATTTGCCTCCTTTATGATGAAGTCGCTTGCCTCTTCTCTCCTGTGTTTCTCTGCTTTGCTGATGTTATCTGATGGCGCGATGTCTCCCACAATGCACTCTGCCATGTCGTGAACCAGAGCCAGCTTTATGCACCTGGAGACACAAGAGTTCACAACAACAGTCAAGGTCCTTTATACTGCAAGCTAAAAACCTTGCAATATGAAAGAGCAATTCCTTGTGATCTCCTATGAGCAAGTACATGGCGACAGCTGTCGCCATGTCGGAAAGGAAGAAGTCCCTTTTAACAGGAAGAGACCCAGAGCACATAAAAAGAGGAACATTTATATGTTTTTCAGCTTTCCTTTTAGATAATGGTGTAAAAACTGATTTTCAGGTGTATGGGACCCACCTGTCCCTGTCCACTGTGGGGTCAGTGATGGTCAGAGACATCATGGCCATGCGGTACATGTGGTCGGACACACTCTCCGGCTTCTTCACATTCCTGTACACCCAGCCGGTCCGCGGCACCCTCTGCGAGTAATATCAGCCATCAGTGACACACATGCAGATATCTGTCTCATAACTGGTTCATCAGGGGTTTTTTGGGGGACACTCTGTGTGCAGATACTGACTTCACTGTGTTTGATAACTCGTCATGAGTGCAAGTAGGAATAGTTTTAAGTTTTTTGTTTGTTTGTTTTTGCAGGTAAAGCGGGTAAGCAGACCTAAAAGATAATATATCTCTGGCTTCTGGTGATAGATTTTTCTGGCTTTCCGTTGTGGGGAAATACTGTACACTAAAGGTTTGGTGGCAAAAAACACACGAAGCTGCAGGAACATATCACATGTACACATCTACAATAACAACATAGAGGTGTCTTGGTTCTCTTTCTATAATAACTCACTTTCAATTGTCCGATAAGTTTCATAAACTGCAGCATTTTACTCATGCCGGCTGTTTTGTCCGCGGTGGCCGCCATCATGATCCGCCGACCCGGATACAGAAAGACTGAGTTTGCTGATGTAATAGCGCAAAGCAGCCGCTGGATGGCAGCATACACAACGTAAAGATACCGAGTCGAAGGACACACTTGTATCTGTTTATTCAGGAAGCACTGCCTCTCCTCCTGTCCTCAAAATACACATTCAGGTCTTTAAAATCCTGCAGTTTGTGTTTTAGGAGTTTATGCAGATTTATGGATATTATATAATGTCATCTGCACATCTATGCAGAACATTTTAAAAAAGGAAATACATTGATGAACCTTCAAAGTGCTATCACTTAGTTTGTTTTTCTTTACCCTTTCCATCTTTTGTTTGTTTGTTTATTTACTGTTAAATAATGTGCTACTTATGCTGTAAGGGCTGATTTGTATCCCAAAATTGGTGGAAAAGTGATTCATTTCTTATGATATCTTTTAATTGTTTGTTTGCTTGCTTGCTTGATCGATTCTTTATTCAGAATGTATCCACATTTGTGCGCTTTTACACAGAAGATACCTAATTTGTAGAGGTAAAAAAATTGTGACAGGTGAACATCAAATTATAAGATTTCCTGCATGTGCATGTTACTTTTACTTTTATCTAAGTTTCAACCCTAATATTTTGTCATGTTTGTCTTAAATCTTCTGCATTTTTATTTATTTATCTATTTATTTATTTATTTATGTTTTGGTATGTTAATACAAGGTGAGAAAGCATTTACTGCTTTGCGCAGTAATGAGTACAAAACTCTAGATGGCGCGGATGAAACAAGCAAGGAGGCAAACGGCTTATAAGACCACGAAGAAGAATCTACACCGGAAGTCAACAAAGCGGGAGATTAGAAAACGTAAACAAACGTTTTTCGTGGGGTGTTCCTTTCTTGTTTCACAGAGAAACGTCATCGACATGTTGAACAAAGCGCCCAGACTGAAAAGTACAATTAAAACGAAGGCGAAGGGCAACATAAACGTGAGGCCGGCGTCAGAGGCGATGGTAGGCTATCGCTTTGTCCGCAGCTGACCGGTAGATGAGCGACGCTAAATAACAGCTGGTTTTTGCTCCTGTGTGCTCAGATCGAACTGCTGACACTGCTGTTCCTGAACAGCCTGGCTGAAGAGGCGAAGGCCAAAGCGTTTGAGGAGAAATCTGCGACGATCAGAGCTCAGCACGTCAGGGCAGTCTCCAAGGTCGGTTTATGTTCACATAACTGCATTAACAACACAATCATGTAACCAACCAGTGATTAGAGATTTACTATTCATTAGTAAATCATTAGTTAATCTATTGATTCCCGATTAATCGTTTGGTTCTGTCTCTCCGTTTAACTAAACAACCTTAAAATTAGAGATTGAATTATTTTCAATATTTCCATCACTGTATATAACTGTAAAGCACTAAATGTAAAAGAGTAAACTACGTTTTTTTTCCCTTATTGGAGGGGTCTTGATTGAATAACTTATATACATAAATCAGCCCTTACAGCAGAAAATACACATTATTTAATATTAAAATAAACAAACAAACATTATTTCTCTGCACACACAATCAAATCACATGTTAACATTTCAAAGACTTTTAAAGAATTGCTCCACGCTAGGTAGTTTCTGCTACTGTAAAATAATAACAGCTATCATCTTGTTACATTACGAAGTTTTTCTTTTAATCATTGTAATTGAAACTACATAAAACAGACATAATTTTATTCCCTCAGTATGCTGGCACTTCTTCTTCATATTATTAAAGATATTTTAAACGTACTGTACAGAAGTTAGAAATTTCAGTGTTGTGTCAAATTGAGCTCACTCTAAAATATTTCCGTTCTTTCTTTACAGAAAGTATTGAAAAAGGCGAGAGGATGATGAAGACGGTGAAGAGCATCATAAAGATTATTTTGGAAGGCAGTGGCAATATTCTTTCATATTTTTAATGTCTTGTTTTGATCTGAAATTCCTTTTTTGAGTTTTTTTTAAAATTGTATTTCCGTGCAAGTAAACACTGTCCTTTCATTGTTCTGTATTAAACATTCATGAATTTTACACTGCCTAATTTATGTATGACAACTTAAAATATAGAAAATAATTGTTATTCTTATCTGAAAACATTTGGGATCAAATTCTTTTAGAAAGTCCACATTGAAATGCCTGCAGGCAGTTATTTGGGCATTCATTTGGAAGCCAAATTAAATCACTCCCTACCTAAATGTAGTTAAATTTCAGTGGCCAGTGATTCATCAAACCTGCATATACATAATCACCAGTCAGTCCTGATAAGACCTGATTAAGTTTGCTGACTTGATCCCAAAATAAGGTTTTAAAAAGCTGTATGTGTGCAGATGAGCTCTCTCGAATCTGTTTTGTTCTCCCATTATATCCCATGATTCTTCAAATTCCTCACTTCTTCACACTACATGTGTTAGTGTGATGAAGTGATATCCTACTGGTTCCACGTCACTACAGGGTTCCTCATAGTGAGCCAAAAGGTTGAAGTCGTAAAAGTGCCTGATTGTTCTTTTACAGTATCTGCTAAGTTACTAATGAAAAGAGTGTCATGTTTGCTCAACCGGCACCCTGACAGCAGATGTAGCGGGGGAGGGGGTTCAAAGTCATCTACATAACACCCAACAACCAAGAGTCAGGGGTGGGAATTAAGCATTTTTGAAAAAATGAGTTGGAATGGGCTGATTTATACTCCAAATATGGGGCTACTTATTTTGCCTCATTTACATAAACTTAATTATAACCAACTTTGTTCATGTATGAGGCAAAAGACATGTTAATTTATCATGTTTTATTATCTTTGTTATATTACCCTAGATATGGAGATATATATTTATACATACATTTGTAAATGTATGTAGAAAAGTATGTCCTGATAGGTGTGTTCACCTGTCACAAAAAAAAATCTGTTTGGTTTGTTTGTTTGTTTTTATATTACAGTTTTTCTGTTTTTCTTTTAATTTTAACTATTCTTTTTACCTCTACAAATGAGGTATCTTATGTGTAAAAACGCACAAATGTGCATACATTTCCAATAAAGAAGCAAGCAAGCAAGTAAACAAACAATTACAAGATACCATAAGAAATTAATCACTTTTCCACAATTTTGGGATAGAAATGTTCTATAAATCAGCCCTTAAAGCATAAATAACACACAGTAAATAAACAAACAAACAAAAGCTGGAAAGGGTAGAGAAAAACAAAGTAAGTGATAGCACCATGAAAGTTCATCAATGTATTTCCTTTTTAAATGTTCTGCATAGATGTGCACATGAGGTGTGCACATTTTCCCCTCCTGCCTTGCAGCTCCATGTTTAGCATCCGTTGTTGAATTTATGCACTAATGTCTTCTAATTTAAAAACAAGTAGAAACTCTTTCATCTAAAAGAAGCCAGATTTTTCTATACAGCCCGACAGTTATGACTGAAGTGGATGGATATGACTAACTTTATTAAAGTGCTTGTGTACATCTTCATCTGGACATGCTTGTATGTTAGCTATTAATTTCCAAGGTTCATCTGTGCTTCAGTTTATGCCTCACTCGAACACTACTCTTTTGGGGACTAAAATCAACACAAGAGCCTGGGGCAAGTATGGGGCAAATTATACTTTCACATTTAATGATGAAAACTTTGTGTTTGTGCTTGTTAGAAGCTCAAAATGGCTGAGAAATGCAAAATGTTTAATGCATACAAAAAGATGCACCAGTGCTGTGGATTCCTTAAACACTTCAAGGTTCTCCATGCACTGAGATAAGCCACAAAACCAACACCAACTCCCACCCGCCATGGATCTCCCTGACAACAAAAGAGACTCAAACATGACCCTAAGGATCTTCTATTATGCCAGTGGTTTTAATCCTAACGTTGCTGCTGATTGGTTTATATTTACAGTTTGTAATTTTGTCATCCTGTGTGTCTATCTCTCATTCCTGTGCAAAAATTTCACCGCTTTCCTACTGAACTGTTAACACAGATAATAAAGTTCAGATAATTTGATTGTATTTGCTAAATAATATAGCAAATATAATCACCAGATGTAGCAACTGCATGAAAATGTTATAGAATCACTGCCATTCTACTGCTGCAGGACATTTTCTGTGCCACTGATAAATGTGAAACTAATCCCTGCACAAAATATTAAAACATGCACTTGTTGTATAAATGACATTTGACCTCAGACAAAATGTGAACCATGTTAAACCTTTTTCTAAACATATTTATTTGTAACTTTTTTTTCAACATATTTTAACCCCTTGATGCCAAGTGCATTATATTTGAGACATGACTTTTTGAGGCTTCATTAGTGTGATTTTTTTTCTTTGCCTGGTAAACCTAAATAAAGACATTTTTAAGACAAAAGCTGTAGCAAATATTATGCAAATTTAAAGGCATATATGCAAATTACTTTTTTGATTATTTCTTTAAAAATGTGTTTGAGCTGGGTGTTAACACCATAGGGAATGAGTATTCAGTATGACCATGTATATCTTTAACTTGATGAGTAAGAATTTATCAAACAATAGTTTTTTAACTCTGGGTTCAGTTTTTTAGAGTTCTGGTAACAGGGTTGCGCCAAGCACAACACACAGTAACTACAATGTCTAATTAAAAGTGAAAATATTATACCTGAGTAGGACAAATGTTTGTTTTTTTTACGGTTTATTATTTGTTTTTCTTAAGTAAATCGCAGTTATTTAAAAAAATTAAATAAAGTTAGTTCTTTTTTATGGTGTACAACATACTAAACCATAACAGGTTTAATGAAGCCCTCCTTTTACTGTGAAATACACTCCTTTTTTACCTACTTTGTGCAGCCACACACACCAGATCTACACAACATATGTATCACCGCTGGAAAGTGTTTGCAGCACATCCAGCAGTACTGAAGTTAGCTGGGCAGGGCACAGAGCTCAACTAACGTAGCAACACAGTCGTTTCCTGTCATACATAACTTCATAACCAAATATAAATGCAGCTGTGGAAATATCTCAACCTGGCCTTCAGCTGAGGACGCTTCTCGAGGTATCCCGAGTTCAGGTGAGTGTATTTATAGGCCACTTTAGCAGCCCGGAGACACACTGACAGCTAGCAGGCTAGCTACATGCACTGCTGGAGCTAGCAGGCCAACTTTGGCTGAATGAATGATTTAACTTATTCGACTGTAGATTGGTTACAGCCACAAAAGCAATACCAGAGTTTAACATTATGACAAGTAGTTTAATATCTGTTTATACAACTTGGGGCTGAAAAGCTAACGTTAGCACAACAGTAGCCTAGCTGGGTGGCTACATTAGCTCTGCCAAACAGAGAGGCCTTTGTTGTTCTATTTGCAGACCGATAAAGTCACGAGAAGTATGCTGGCCTGTCTGTTGTTTGTAATATTTAGGCTTTCAAAGCTACAGTTATTTGGGAAGTAATGTTCAAAGGGGGATATTTGCCCTGAAAACAGTTTTGTGCTATATGCGAACGAGGGCGTTCCCAGAAGTGTCAGCAGAGCAGTGCAGTGTATGCTAACTTGGGCTGCATTCCCATGTTTTTGTCAGTGAGTCACTAAATCTGTTTAGCTTGTAGCATGCATGTCCCATTTGCTGTGCTGTGACTCTCTCCCTGCAGCATGGCAGGCTGTGGAGAAGTGGACCTCTCAGCAAACGCCCTGCGACCTTCCAAGCTCATTGAGGAAGTGGGGGATGCTGCCTCCACCAGCACTACCCCGGAGTGTGCCATCTGCCTGCAGAGCTGCGTCCATCCTGTACGCCTCCCGTGCTGCCATGTCTTCTGCTTCCTGTGCGTGAAAGGTGCCTCCTGGCATAGCAAGCGCTGTGCTCTCTGCCGACAGGAAATCCCTGAGGACTTCCTGGAGCGGCCTGTTCTCCTGTCACCTGAAGAACTGAAGGCAGCGGCTTCTGGGTTGAGCCGAAGCGGGGGAGTAGGAGGTGAATCCTGCGGAGACTATGCATGGTACTATGAAGGACGCAACGGTTGGTGGCAGTACGATGAGAGGACAAGCCGAGAGCTAGAGGAGGCCTTCGCCAAGGGCAGAAAGAGCACAGAGATGCTGATTGCGGGGTTTCTTTATGTGGCTGATCTGGAAAACATGGTCCAGTACCGCAGAAATGAGCATGGTCGCAGGCGCAAGATAAAGAGGGACATTCTAGATATTCCTAAAAAGGGGGTGGCGGGATTAAGGTTAGACCCTGAACCTACCCCTGTTCCTGCTTTACCTGTCATTGCTCCGGCAGCAACAGAGCGTGTCAGCTCAGCTCATGGATCGGACTCTGCTGGCCAATCGCAGTCTTCCTTTCCGGTTATTGTGTCTTGTCCCCCTGTTAGACCTCAAACACTCCTGGGGCGTCATCATCTCACCAGTCCTCTGTCACCTTCGACCCTGGAGGCATCTTTTTCTCAGCTTCTAATCAGCCAGCCTGAGGGTGAAGAGGTGGAAGGAGATGACGAGCTTCAGATGTATGAATCTGCATCTGGCAACAGTGAGAGTGAGGACGAGAAGAAGTGCGAGAGAGATCGAGAAGAATCAGTGGCACGAAGAAGACATAGGCAGAGGCCGCTAAGAGAGATCCAGCCAACCAGAGTCCCTCCAAGGGGCAGGCCTTCTAGTTCTACACTCAGTCTCCGTTCACGTAGTCCTGATGGGCAGTGCACTGTGACAGAAGTGTGACTGGAACATTTGAAAAGTTCTCAAACTCTCATCAGTTCAGCAAAAAAGTTTAAAAACCAGTATGCATCTTTAAAAGATCCCATGGATAGAGCAATACCTTTTGAATGTGTTGTTGCCTGTGTCACTGGGTGATTAACCTGTTGACTGATGTGCCAAACATTATCCTGAAATTATTGTTGGAATAATTAAAATTCTCCCTCCACTTTAATGTAAACTTCATTCTGTCGGTGGCCCTGTGTCTGTTGAGCTGTGTTCAGACCAAATTCATGAAAATATAGAGAGTAGTAAAAGCGAGAAGAAGGATTACAGGCAGTAGCTGGAATCAGGTCCTCCAGTTTTGAGAGAGTTTAGAGAATCCATTTTATGACTCTTAGCAAAATTTCCACTGAAGTTGTAATGCAAGTAATTTAGCTTGCAGACTTGCATACTTTCCCCAGTTCATGTCACCTGAAGCAAATTAACATTTTTATATAGACATTATATGAAATTGCTACGTGTGGGATAATGTAATAGCTAACATCATCATAACACCTCTGATATAGGTTGATGTTTCATGTTACCTTTGCTCTCATGAGCAGAAACAACTAAAACCTTAGAAAGGAACATAATTTTTTTTTAAGGTCGTTGTTATAGTCGTAAACAGTTTGCAGTTCATGGCTCAGTGGTTATGCAACAGCAGGCTTGTTCCTAAAACAAAAAAGTGACGTGCTTTAGAAAGCTATCCAGTCTATAAACTACCATAAGCTCACTG